CAAATAAAATTTAAAAATGAATGAATAAATAAAGTTAAAAAAAAATTCTTTAAAAAAAAAAAAAAAAAGGCTAAGCCATGGTTCTGAGACGGGTCAGCTCATTGAGTAAAGCCAGGGACACTGACTTAGGTATCTCAGAAGGTGGTGGGGGTTGGGACCAGCAGATGGTGGAATGGTTATGTTGCTGAATTCCCACGTAATAGACCTCGGTTCGAATCCCAGACCAGGAGGTTTAAAACCCACACTGGGGAGGGGGACAGTGGAGCAGCAGGTGGCATGGTGGTTAAGGGCACTGGACTTCCACATGGCCAGTCATGGTGCGAGTCCCAGACCTGGCAGATTGCTTTCTCACTTTCTCTTTCTCTCCCGCCTTCTGTGCACAAATTAAAATAAATGAAGTTAAATAAAAAATAATTCTTTTAAAAAATAATAAACTCACACAGAGTGTATGTGCATGCATGCCCAAGATCCTAAGGAGAATGGGGAAGATATTGCGGTGTGGCCATCCCATGGGGGAATGATTTCTCACTTTCTGTCTCTCTGGCAAGCGCATGCGCCCTATAGCAAAAATCTCTCTTCAAAAAAAAAGAAAAAAGAAAGAAAAAAGAAAAAGGAAAAGGAAAGAAAGCAGTTGGGGAAGAAATCAGAAGCGCATCAACAAAAAACTTGGGGAAGACCAGCAGGTGGCGTGGTAGTTAAAGACGCTGGACACTCCCACATGACCAACCATGGTTCGAGTCCCGGACCTGGTGGCTTGCTTTCTCACTTTCCCCCTTTCTCTCTGTGTCTCTCTCTGGTCAAATTCAAAGCTGAATGAATAAATAAAATTAAAAAAAAAAACCAAACTTGGAATGCAGCCAGCAGGTGGTACGGTGGATAAGAATTCCCCAACTCTGACTTAGGGAGGAATCGGTTTGCTAACGATGTCTGAATAAAAACCATAATGATTTATTGAGCACCTACTAAGGACTGGATGCTTTAAAGCTGTCATTTCATCTTCCTTCATTCTCACATCAGTTCTATGAGGTAGGCACTCACAGGTCCATGTGAAGGAAAGAATAAAAGCAGCACACACTGTAAGAGACAACTCAGGCGTGGGGACAGCGCTGGAGGTGAGGACGGGCTATTCCAAGAAGCTGGACAAATCGCCCTGCCATTGTCCAGATCCACTGCAGGTCGCGGGAGCGGGAAAGGGGAGCAGATGGGCCTTCGCGCAGGCGCATGAGGCTTATGCAGACCTAAATCATTGTCTGCATGCTCAGTGGGGACCTGGCTCCTTGTTCTTGGGTGTTCTGGGCCCCAAGATAATCAGGCTAGGCTCTCCTCCTCTTCGCCTATAGGACTGGGCAGCCAGGGAGGCGCCGGTCCCCTGGGCCCAGGCATTGGCACTGCTGTGAAGGGCTCGGCCGGGGTTCCAAGGATGGGAGCAGGTGGCTCAGGAATCGTGGGGGGCTCGGGTTCCAGTTCTCGAAGGCCAGGGTCCAGCAGAGGGTCCCCGCAGCCACACTCCTGGGCCGCCCCGTCGGGGGCTCCCGCGCATGCGCAGCTGGCCGAGGTGGACGTCTCAGACACGCAGCTGTTCTTGCGGCGCAGCAGGGACAGGCGCCGGCCCAGCAGGCCTCCGCCCATGCCCCCGCCCACCGGCAGGAGGCGCTGCAGGAAG